AGGGCCCTCCTTATAAAACTTGTCCTGGTAGCCGTGAAATCTGGGTGTTGAGCAAGAAGCTGTGCAGGGTGCCCTTTGCTGCACGTGCCATTTGCTCACAGCCTGATGCGTAGGATTTTGCTAGCTTTTCAAAATCTTCATGGGTGAAAATTCCCCCTGTTTCCCACTCTGCAACATTTGGGGGTGTGAAGGAATGTGAGATGGGTTGAATTGTGGGAAGAAGGGCCAAGCAGCGGGGAGATGATGTGAGGTGGAGTCTGGGGTGATATGAAACGACTTCAGTCGTGTGGAGTGCTGTGACGGGTTGTAAGGTAGTATTGGGGGTGGGAAGGGCTGTGAGCTGTGCAAAGGGGGTGCAAGGTGGGAACTGGGCTGTGGGAAGGGATGTAAGGTGGAGCTCAGGTGCGGGAGGTAAGGCAGTGATCAGGGGTGTGAGACAGTGCAGGGGCAAGCAGCACACAAAGGATGTACAGAGCATCAGCTGTGGGGCGGTGCATGATCTGGGGACCAAGAGTTTGCCTGAGAAAGCCAGCCCTCAAAACCCCTTCCAGACCACCGACCAACTTGGGGACAGAGCCTGGGCTGACCTGGGATTGCAGGAAAAGGGGAGCACAGCCTTGCAAAAACACAAGGTTTGGGGCAATGAAGCAGATGCCTCTTTTTAAGACATGACTGTGAATAACACGCTTCTGTTTCAGTGTCTGTGTCATGTGGGAGCTGAGATTGGAGGCATCAGGCTGAAACTGGATTGAAAGGAGCTGGGATTTTGTGTGTTAGCTTCTCCTGTAGCCTGGAAGGCTCTGGGACTGGTGCCTGTCTGGCTGTCACAGTGGCTATGACACCCTTATTTCCATCTCTGTCTCTTCCCAGCACCACCAAAGGGAGGTACATGGCTGCTCTTCTGGTGCTTGCTGATGCCCAGCTTTGTTGCAGGGTCAGGGAAATGGGCAATTGGTGGCACCAGTGCCACGGAGCTGCCCCATGGCACCCTCCCAGCTGTGCCATCTCCCTACCCAAATCTCCTGGGCTGAGGAGGGATCTGAGAGGGAGCGACATGGGGTTGATGCTTGCATTTGCAGCCCCACCGAAGTAGCCCTTGGTGGTCCCACCAGGGCCACCTGCAGAGCACTAGTCCCAGACGATGACTTCGGACTGAGAAAAGCGGCTCGTTCCCGGCTAGCATATCCTCGACAGGTTCATCTATCATCTCCCGAGCTCTGCCAGCTTATTAGCAGATGTTGTCCTGTCCCCAGAGGATGGAGAGGGAGGGAAACAAATGGACCGAACTACAGATGGCTGGCAGAGCCCTCCCCACGCTCGCTGTTTCTGAGACAAGCCTGCTGCTCTGCGGTCCCTTGGGCAGGCGATGCGTGCAAGAGTGGGGCTGGTGGGCTGGGAAAAAAAGGCAAGATGTGCTGTGCGGGGGTGGGGAGCGGATCAGTGGAAGACCCGTGGTATTGACCCCAAGAGGCTGGGATGATAACTGGGGACCCACCTATGCGACAGAGGGCTGGAGATGTGCTCTGCCAAGCACGGGTTTAGTGTTGGTTCTTGTAGGCTCTGCCTGTGACACTGGGACCAGCCAGGTGTCTGGGCTGCAAGCCCAGTGTAGATGTGCAAGTCTTGAGCTGGGCTGCAGGTGAAGGTCTGCTGCTGTCCCACGTGCACTGTAAAACCACACCGTGAGATGAAACTGCAAGGACAGGCGCCTTGTCTGGGTTTTACAGGGGGAATGGCACTGGGGACAGAAGGAGGACACCAGTAGCAGGACTTCTGGTGGTCCGCAAAGAGGCAGGACCCGAGATCCTCCGACACAGAGCAAGGGCATAAATTGCATAAAATAATTTAAAAAAAGAAATCCCCACCTTCTGCAGGGCTCCTGGGAGGGCACTTCTGGCAGGCGGCAGTAGGTTGTTGCAGTGAAGACAGCAGGACAACCGTCCTGCACCTCCCTGGTGGGTGGCTTCAGATTTTGGTGGCTTCAGTGTGTGCGACAAGCATGGCTGTGGAGCCCTGTGGATTTTAGATCTGGTGCATTCGACTGAATTTTTCTCGCTGGCCACTTCTCTGCTGCTTTGCTCTTATCAGAACTAATCCTGGAGGTCCTGGTCTTCCACGTGTCACTGGCCTGGCATGAAAGAGCTCAATCCAGAGCAGGACATGCCTGTCATCCCATACTGTAGGGATTTCATACCTTGTGCAGGTTCCAAGCTGGTGCGCTCTCCCGTGCCTGCGAAAGGCTTTGCACGTGTGTCCTGCTTCCATCTAAAGCAAGCACTGAAACGCACAGAGGTGCATGGCTCCGTCCAGAGCAGTGCCTGCCCCAGCCCCAGTTGCTCTCCAAGCCTCCTCTCGTGCTCGTGCTGTCCAGGTGCTGGGAGGTGGCTCCCAACGGCTCTGCCCTGGTGCACAAATTCACCTGTAATTTGTCATTTAGGATAATTTTCCCCCTGAGTGCATCTAAAATAATGGTGAATCGTTGCTACAGGTAATTAATGGTGTTCTTTTACAGCATTGAATGCTAAGTGATTACAATTGCTTGGTGCAAATCGGCTGCGCTTCGTGTTCCCATCCTTCCTGCTAGCTTTTTCTCTCCATACCTGATGTAGCACTGATTTCTCTGCCTTTAATTAAATATTGGTGGGGGGAACACTCCAGTGCCTCTTGAATCAAGAGTCCCTGGTTGCTGCATGGGTAGAGATGACGGTGGTTTGCAGGTCCAAGGGGGATTCAGACAAGCTGAAGGCAGCAAATCCTGATATGTATGCTGCCCAGCATGGACTGTGGGGCTGTCTCATTGCTCGGTTCCCATCTGGTAGTCTGTGCTCATGCCGTGTCTTCATCCTTTCCCACATGGAAAAACTGGGAACTTTTCTTTCTTAGAGATTTGGGTGGGGTTTTTTTCCCAGCTGGCTACCTCCCAGATTTGTCCCCACCTGAGAACAGGGTGTAACAGCACTCATCTCAGTCTTACACCCAAAAACAAAAGGTTGCAGACCAGAGGGTGTTGCAGCTTCAGGCAGAGGACATTTGGTAAAGGCAGAGTGTCCCTGGCTCTCTTAGTGTGTGGCATCACGAGGACCAGTCAGCACCAGAGCTTGGCAAATGTCCTGGGCTGTCCTTGGTGTGGCTGGCTGGGGACAGCAAACCTCCTCTCCCAACTCTGCCTCCCTGTTTTCTCTCCTCTTCTGATGCCCTTGAGGAGGTGAAAGGCATCAAGAAAGCTGGGGAGCCAAAGCCAGTCCCGAGCTGCTGCGATTTCCTTGTGAGTTACATCTGCCTTCCCTTGCACCCAGTTTGGGCATTTCTGCTGCTTGCTTTGATGCCCTTTGGGGAGTGGAGGAGCATGAATTTAGGAACAAACTCTGGAACTGCTGGCCTTTGCTTTTTCCAGCCGGCTGTACCAAGATGTGATACAAACCCGCGATACCAACATCTCTGGCACGTGCAGCACGTGTACATCCCGCTGGTGGTATTGGCCCCCTGTCTTTAAAGTAGCATTCGGTGAAAAAGTGCCACAGGAGCTGGTGATAGAGTTTGAAGAGGGACCAGCAAGCCTCCAGGGATGTGTGTGGCTGGAGCACTGCCTTCAGCTGCCATTGCTGGAAGTATCTCAGTTATAAAGAGGTTGTTGTATTACTGTGCAGCATGTGATATGTGAAATATGTTGGTAGCAGTCAGTCCAGGGAGATCTGTGGCAAGGAAAGGAGTGTTATTAATAAGAAAACAAATCAGCACCTAGAAGCAGAACAAACAGACAGCACGGAGGGACCCAGACCACCAGGGATGCTGGATTGCAAACAAAACCCGTCTACATGCTTGGAAGCAAAAATTGAGGCTGTATGCAGAGCTGGCCACTGGGGGTAAAGACGAGAAAATGAAGGTATTACTACCTCAGTAGGGAAAACCAGAAATGAGTCAGAGCCAGGAACAATGCTTGAATCACTGGAACTGGTCCTAGAAGTACTTGATGAATACAGGGACCCAGACAGAGGCTGTTTTTCCTTACTTGGAATCGAAATCTGCAAGAGAGGACAGATCCTTCCACACCCAGACAGATACCTGACATGCCACCTGTCACTCTTGAGCTAATCAATTTTCCTAACGAGAGGCGAGTTGTTTGTTTGTGTGACAAATGATTCACCCGAGGAGCTGCTGGGAAAGGTGGGGGTAGGACAGAGCAGACGGATGCCAGCCCTAGTGTGGGATGAGCGTGTGCTCCTGCTGCACAGCCCACGGCACCAGGAAGAGGCAGAGCAACTGAAGGCAGGTTGTGTTGTCAAAAAAAACCCTCAGGCTGGCTTATGTGGCCTTGCTGTCCCTCCACAGAGAGCAGGCAGCATGCATGCACTGCCGGTTTGCTGCAACGTGAAACGAGAGAGGGTGTTTTCCCTTGTTTTGTGCAAGGAAATTTGTCGCTTCGTATAGCAGCACACCAGGGGCTTGCAGAGGGACATGCACCATGTCCCAGGTGCGGAGATTTTAATTCTTGAAACCGCCCACATGGATGCTTTTGGGCACCAAAACCCACCACGAGTGGTGTGGCAACCACTGTGAAGTGAGGAATGTGCCGTAAAGTGCTGCCTGGTTTGATCTTCGCAGCGCTCCCTGCCCTGTGGCTAGGCAGTGGCCCAGAGGGGTGGCTGCAGTGGGGAGAGCTCTGGGCAGCAGGCATGGGTGCAAGGAGAGCACCTCGAGCTTTGCAGGCAGCTCACGAAAAGCAGAGGCACCCAAGTCTGCTTATGAAACAGTGGGGAACAGGTACCAGGATGGCAGCAAGTACAGCCTGGGGGCAGAGACAAAAGCAGTTTTCACAGAGCCTGGCTTCCAGCTGCACAGCTGAGGGGGGACTCACCCAGACATTGGGGAGAAGGGCTGGTTTCCCATGCACTGGGACGGGGTTAAAAGTGGGGTCCAGATTTGCACTGGTGGGATTCGCCAAGCCGTGGGGTGCACCTCATCCAGGCGCATCCCTCTGACCTCTGTTCCCTCCTCTGCAGCCTGCCAGCTGGGATTTTATAAGTCGGCCCCCGGGGACCAGCTGTGTGCAAAGTGCCCCTTGCACAGCCATTCGGAGAGCCGGGCGGCCCGCGTGTGCCGCTGCGACAGCAGCTTCTACAGGGCGGTGCAGGACCCCCCCTCGGCCGCCTGCACGCGTGAGTACCCCGGCTGCCCAGGCATCCGTCTGCACTGCAGTGGGGCAGGTGTCACGTCCTCAGACACGGCAGATGTTCCCGGGCTGAGCCCATCATGCACCCTTGCCTCTTGCATGCTGCCCAAGGTGCTGTAGCAGCCTTTCTCTCAGCACACGAGCTGAGACCCCCCCTTAGCCGCCTGCCCTCTCTCTCATCCTCACCCTGCTGCTCTCCAAACATCCCTGGCCAGAGTCTGCTCCCCTCCCAGGGCTCTCTCCTGCAACAGAGCGGGGCGAGATCATGGCTCTGCCAGCAAGCTCACCTGCTCACACACCAGCCAGCGTGTCAGCCACTTGCTGGCTGCTTTCCTTTGCAGAAATGCCCAGGGTGGTCAGACCCCTGGGAGGCCACGGGCCAGCGCAAGTGCCGCTGCACTCTCCCTCGCTGTGGGTGGACGGTGGCACCAGGCTTGTTATATAGTTTCCACTCAGCTCTCTGCAATAGGCTGCTTTGAGGCGCCCAGTGCTATTAAAAGGGGACAAGAGCGTCCCAAGAGGAGTCCTCCTCTCTGCAGTCGGTCCAGGAGGGCAGAAAGGCTGCTAGCTGAAGCCAGGGTGAAAGACAGGTCAGCAACATCTGACCTTGTGTTTCCCTAGGACTTATCCACCCAAGAATGTTAATCTCCCCAGGAAATGTGAGTTTACCCTTCCCTTTAGATGAGCAGATCCTGCTCTCCACCCTCCAGCCTATTGAAACCTTGGCTCTTCCCCCAAAATCTTCCCACATCCCCATCGCTTCCTGCTTCCCCCAGAACAAACATCAGCTCTTCCCTGCCCGGTACTTGGCATCCTGATCCAGAACACCTTACCTCCACAGCATTTCACCTCAAGACCTGTCTGTGTCTTTGCTGTCTTCTGTTTGGAGCATTTCCCCCTCTGGGCAGCTCTGTCGTCCCTGTAGCACTGTTTGTAAGCGCAGGTACATGCTGCCCAAGGTGCACCTCCCCGTTGGTCCCATGCTCTGCCAGTCCCAACGTGCTTCAGCAGACCCAGCTCTGCCTGAACCTCTGCTTCTTTTCCAGGGCCCCCCTCTGCTCCTGTGAACCTGATCTCCAGTGTAAATGGCACTTCGGTGACACTGGAGTGGGGCCCGCCCCTGGACAAGGGGGGACGCGCTGACATCGTGTACAACGTGGTCTGCAGGCGCTGCGCGGGGGACGCTGGCCAGTGTGAGGCGTGCGGCAGTGGGATCCGCTTCGTGCCCCAGCAGATGAGCCTGGTGCAAGGAGCGCTGACGGTGACCAACCTCCTGGCCCACACCAACTACTCCTTTTGGGTGGAGGCCGTCAACGGCGTGTCTGACCTCAGCCTGGAGTCCAGGAGAGCTGCAGTTGCCAACATCACGACAAACCAGGCAGGTAGGAGGAGCAGACACCCCCCTCCAGGCTTTGCCTGTATGGGTGATGCTGATGTTGCTCCGACGTTGCTCCAGCCAGTATCTGCAGGAGCCAGAACCTGCCCTAGCAGCCAAGGGCTGGTTTGGTGGTGGGCATGGGACCCCCGGGAGATATGACCCCTATCCTCTCTGCTGCTGGAGGTAGGTTCAGGGAGCTGGGGAGGGCTGGAGACAAGCTGCTGCCCAAGGCAACTCTTACCCTTATCTGGTTCATGGTATCCTTTTTCATCCTTTCCCTCCACTTCAGCCTGCAGCTGCTGGTGGAGGCTCCTTTTCTGCAGGAGACAGGGGGCATGGAGAACACTTGTTTATTGACAGGAACACTAAGTGGAGCATGAATCTTTCAGGCTGTTCCTCCAGCCTTCTGTCCTTTCCCAAAGGGCCAAGCAGCAGTTCATGCTCTGCTCTTAACTCACACCAATGCCAGGCCCTGGCAGGTGACAGCAACGTTTGCTGGGAAACGTCTCTCTCATGCATGTCTCATCTTTGCAAATCCCTTGGTGTGAAATGCTCTTTCCCCAGGAAATACTTCTGAGCAATGCTCTAGCCCAGGTGGGCCAGGACCTTGCTCCAGGGTCACCTGGGCACCTCCCCAGAGCAGAGCCCCGCTAAGCCCCTTTCCATGGAGCACGCTGCGGGCAGAGGGGACAGGGCAGGGAGTGACCCTTCTTGTTAATCCTCCCAGTTGGAAACGAGCCCACGGGAACTTCCCGTGATGCTGAGCCCCTTCTGCTCTCATGGTGGTGGTGCCAGAAGGAGAAACCCGGGGAGCCTCGCTGGGTTAGCTCATGGCTGGCACGAGAACAAGGCCCTTTTGTTACTAATGCCTGCCCGTAGCACTTCTTCAGCCCTCCACCAAGCCCACGTGGAAACAGCTCAGTCCTGCTGGCTCACTCCTGCGTGATCCCTCCAAGTGCTGACGAGCAGCATCAGCCTAATGCCTTGGAGGGGGATGCTCTCCCTCCCTCTCAGCTCTCCAAGTGCTGAATATTCCCATTTCAATCTCTCTGCTAGAAAGTGGATGCTGAGCAGGTGCTGCGAAACCAGCGGGATTGGGAATTTGGTAGTGATTGAAGTTTAGCTGCCGTGCCAGCATGGTGCTCCAGCTGCTGCACACCACAGAGCATCCCTGCCCACCAGGAGGGGCTGAGGGACCCCTGCTGCACTGCATGGGGTGGTTTGCCCATGCTGGGTGCTGGTCACTCTTGTCCCCCCAGCCCAGGGCAGCTGAGCAGGGCAGGAGCGGGTGCAGCAGAGATGCCCTGGGGCTGTTAGGAGAGATGGCGTTGCACGTGCCCGTGGGGTTTAGCTGATTCCCACCATCCCACCCTGTCCCAGCTCCCCAGGATCCTGTGTCCCAACAGTGATTTCTGCTTCTCAGAGGAGCCAGCTCGAAGACGAACTGAGCTATAACTGCTGCCTTTCTGTCCCCGGGTGCCCCACTTGTTGCTGCAGCTCCTGCGGCCTCTTTTGATCTCTGTGCTGCTCCAGCCTCTGTGTCTGCCCCCGCGCCGCAGCCATGGCAGACAGCAGCTCCATCTTCCCCAGAGCCACCATTTTTCATCCCGTTTTTCATTCGGCAGTTAAGGTCATAAGGGGTGCCTGACCCCTTCCCATGAGTCGGACCCAATGGCTGCGCCTGGCCATCGCAGCACCCCACCACACTCTCTGGGGTCCTTCCAGGGTAGATTTTCCCAGAGGCAAAAGAGGCTGGTGAGTTGGCCTCTGCAGCTGTGGCAGCTCCAGTTTGGACACAGCAGGTACAAGGACCGATTCACAGGCTCCCAACCCAGGCCCAGGCAGATGACGAGTATCTCAGGGCAGGAGAAGCACCCCCAGGGCACCTTTAGACTGATGCTCAGTCCCTGATCACCCCTCTGGGCATTTAGCATCTCCCCTTTCCCTCTTCCCCTGCCCCTCTCCCCCTTCCCTAGGTGGGGCAGGAGGGGTCAGGGTCCTGCTAGGGATCTCCATGACCTCCAGCACCGCAGCCCCTTCTCCTTTCTGGCTCCAGATCACAGCGAAGCACCAGTGTCCCCTCCTGCCTGTGCTGGGACAGTGCCCTCCTCTTTCATCTCCTTGGAGCCTGCTCACTCCATGGGAAAGAGATTGAGGCAACTGAAGCTAACAAAAAGCCCATTCATAGCACTCATCCCCACATGGCTTTAATTAAAAAAGAAACATGGTTTAAACCAGGGGTCCTGCATGGGGCTCCACTTCCACCCTTCTCTGCTGCTGTGTCCTGCTGCCCTCGCCCATGCAGGACCCCCACCAGCAGGCACCTAACACCCTGCCATCTGTGTCCCCAGCCCCATCCCAGGTGGTGGTGGTCCGCCAGGAGAGCACGGGCCAGAACAGCGTGACTTTGCTGTGGCAAGAGCCAGACCAGCCCAACGGCATCATCCTGGAGTACGAGATCAAGTACTACGAGAAGGTAATGCTGAGCTTGCCGCCGCAAACCAGTCCCAACGTGGTGGATTTAGACAGGGGCATGGCTTGGTTTAAATCCTGCTGGTGCAATTGCTGCTATCAGCCAGCCTTGCACAAAGGACTATTTTGGAAGACTTTGTGGCTGCTGTGGTGCTGCAGCAAGGTTTTTGATGTTGCTTTTCCCCAGGACAAGGAAATGCAGAGCTATTCGACTCTGAAATCCAAGGGCACTGCTGCCACCATCTCTGGGCTTAAGCCTGCAACCCGCTACATTTTCCAGGTTCGGGCTCGCACCTCTGCTGGCTGTGGGAGGTTCAGTCAGACCGTGGAGGTGGAAACAGGGAAGCCAGGTGAGTGTGTGCAGTTGTGGGATGTGGGAAGTGTGGGACTGGAAGCATGGGGGATGGCGATACCCTTGTTCATGATGATAGTGCCTCTGCCACACAGGGAGAGAGGCTGGAGGCACATCTCCTGGGGTTTCAGCCTGCAGGGCTTGCTTGAGGTTGCCCTCCTGAGATGTGTTTATGCATTAGAAAGAAGAGGGAGGAAGGACGTAATGGTTCCTGTACACTGGGAGAGCCCCAAAGATGGGGCTGGATGGGGAATGGTGCTTTGTCTTTGAAGAACATGACCCCAGTGGGGTAGATGAGTTTCTGAAGCAGAGCAGAGTGCTTCTCACTCCAGCTCACCTCCTTCCTATCCCGCTTCTTCCAGTCTCTCTCCGATACGACACGATGACGATTGTCTGGATCTGCCTGACACTCATCACTGGCCTCATCGCATTGCTGGTGGTCCTAATCTGCAAGAAGAGGTAAGTGTTTTCTGGAGGTCAGTGCATCTTGTCACCAAGTGGGGCAGGAGGGATGGGAGAACTTGGATGCAACTGTTCTCCTCTCAGTTTGTGCAGAGCATCCATAGGTCAGGGATTAATAAGCAACCAAGATACTTCATCTAGGGGACACCCTGCCTCCACTTTCCCTGAGGCAGAGCCAGTCTCCAGACCTTCCCCTCATGCCAGTGGGCTGAATAGCAGTAGCAGTAGCAATAGCAATAGCAGCAGCAATAGTGATAGCAATAGCCATAGCAATACCAGTACCCGTACCACTACCGGTACGAGGGCTGACTGAATGGGCTGGGGGGTAGGTCAGGAGTGGAGAGAGCTCTTCTCCATCAGAGAGGTCCAAGGTGGACTGTGTCTGCTACATCTCAGCATGGCTGAGCCAGGCATGTGGAGCACATATGCGGCTGCCCAGAGTAGACAAAAGGGATGCAGCTTTTAGCACTGCCAAGCCTTGGAGAGCACCTGGAAAGTACCTCGCTGCAGGCCAAAGTGTCAGCCCAGCAAGATGCAGGGATGCAGCTGGTGAAGGGCCAAGTGTTATCTCCACCTCCTCCTGGGCTGCCTACAGCCCTGGCACGCATTGCCTTCCACCCTGCCTTTGGGCTGCTTGTGGGAACGAGGGACAGGAGCACCTCTTCTAACCCTTGTGTCCTCGCGGCAGGCACTGTGGGTACAGCAAGGCTTTCCAGGACTCCGACGAGGAGAAGATGCATTATCAGAATGGGCAAGGTAGGACCCTCCCTGCTGCTGCCCCTTGGGTGTGAAGGACCTCAGCCCTGTGGATGGGCAGGGACCTGGACCATTACCCACTGGCACTGCTGTGGTTTCCAGGGGGAAGGGTTTTGACCACTGCCTGCTTCTGGGGATGTGTCTAGGAGAGCTGAGCGGGGGCTCTGATCCCAGGGGCATCCTGGTAACAGGGTTGAAGGGTTGCACAGCATGAGATGGGACTGCGGCAGGTTCATCCGAGACAGCAGCAGGCCAGAAGAGTGGAAAATTCATCACAGGCGAGGGGTGGGGGTGGGGGGATGATGGAGGGGGACAATCACATGGAAGAGACCTGGGCAGCCAGGTCCTGGACTGCTCTGAGGACACTGCTGTGCCAAAGAGTGCCTTAGGTTTCCTTGGGGCTGCAACCTCTGTGGCTCCTCAGCATGTCAACCCAGGAAGTCCGGCCCCTGTCCATCCTCTGCCTGGCTGCTGGGTGCCCCTACTTCTCAGCAGGGCTGCCTGAAAGAGCTTATCTCCTCTCTCCCCTTTGAAACCTGGCAGTGAAGTTCCCCGAGTCCAAGTTCTACGTTGACCCCCACACGTACGAGGACCCCTGCCAAGCTGTGCATGAGTTCACCCGTGAAATCGAGGCCTCCCGGATCAAGATCGAAAAGGTCATTGGGTCTGGTGAGTCCCCGGGCCAGGCTGTCTCTTTGCATCGTGTCTGCTCAGGGAAATTCACGCTCTGAGGTTGTGCTGTCCCCGGGGCCCACTGGGACCACGGGAGGCTACACAGCACATGCACAGTGCTCAGCCAGGGCTTCATCTGCTCCTTATCCTTTTGAGATCAAAATCATGGATAGAGTGGGGGGTTTTGGTGCATGAAATAAACTCTTTGGAGGCAGCCTGGTGCGGAAGGTTGCTGTTCAGCTGGCGTGGCACCGACGGCTCAGGCTGACACAGCCGATGGCTCAGCCTGTCCCGCGTGGGTGCTCCAAGGTGGCCACCCTGCTTTCAAACCTCGAAGCAAGTGTCTGGGGTGGCAAGGTGCAAATGAAATTGCAAGCAAAATGGTAAATTTTCAGAACAAAAGTGATTTTTGCATAGGAACAGGTTCTTGCAGGGAAGCACGGGGCAGAGACAGAGCTGGAACTTCACCAGCAGCACCCCAATGGCTTACCCCAGAGCAGCACTAGAAAGCCTGGCTGAGACATCCCTGCTGCTCTAAGAGACTCCCAAATTTGTTCATTAAAAGCAGTAAAGCAAGTGCCACTGTAATCACTGCTCTTGGCCCACTGCCTTCAGTAAAAGGCATCAGAGAGAGGTGGTTGCTGATATTTCTGCCCAGTTCCCAGAGGTGGCACTGGAAGCTGGAGATGGGCAATCCTTTCTGTCCTCAGAAAGAGGCAGTGATGCACAAAAAACCCAGGAGTTCTGAGGGGCTGCAGCACTCTGTGAGTGTGCCGGCAGACTGGGTGATCCGTGGTGCTGGTGGGTCGATGAAAGAAGCTGAGGATCTCCTCATGCCCTCATCTTCCCTTGCCTTGCAGGGGAATCCGGAGAGGTGTGCTATGGCCGCCTGAAGCTGCCAGGGAAGAGGGAGATTCCTGTGGCCATCAAGGCACTGAAAGCAGGCTACACGGAGAAGCAGAGACGGGACTTCCTGAGCGAAGCCAGCATCATGGCGCAGTTCGACCACCCCAACGTCATCCACCTGGAGGGTGTGGTGACCAAGAGTATGTGGCTGGTGGGGACGGGACCCTATGGTGGGGCAGAGCTGGGATGTATCTCCCTGTGGGCACCCTGGGAGATGGGGGTCAGGGATCACTTTGGGTGCTCTCCTTCCTTTGGTTGCCCCAGTTGCTCACTTGTCAGATGCCCATTTACCCGGGGTCCCCTCCATCCCACCCCATTGGTCATCCAGGTGACCCATCCCAGGTCAGGGTTATTGGTTTAGGAGATGTCCTACCCATTAGCATTTATTTTAAAGGCTGCCTGTATTGAATCATAATTTGAAGACTTCCTTCAAAAAGGCACATTCTGATGCAAAGCGTTATGCTAATGGAATGCAAATTTCAGCGAGATAACGAAGCTGACCTAGCCACATCCATAGCACCTGGAGGGAGGGGTAAGTGCCCGGGTTATTGCCACATCCCCACCATCTTGCCCGTCCTGTGCAGTGCAGGGGTGAGACCGCTCTGCGGAGCTGCAGGAGATCCACAGGCCTGGATTCATGTCTCTCCCAGTAAAAGCCTGGCTCCGGGCTTCCCAGAGGAAGGTGACTTCTCTGCTCACTTGACCTCCCTTGTCTTCTGCAGGCAAATTGGTAATGATTGTTACTGAATACATGGAGAACGGCTCGCTAGACACTTTCCTCAGGGTAAGGAGCTCTTTTGTATTTTTATTCATTGCACATACCCCTGGGCTGAGTGACTGGAGGAGGGGCTGGTTCCTGCTCCTCAGCCTCACGGCCACTGCAATCCCTGTGCGAGAGTGGTGTGCTGTGGGCTCTCACCTCTCCAGCAGACACGGGCTCCAGGGCATCATGGCTGGCTCACCAGAGCGGCACTGCAAAGGCAGGGACACCTGCCTGAACAGTGTGTCAGAGGCGCTGGGAGGGCAGAAATGGGCTGGGGGGACAGAGAGAGGCACTGGGGTTAGAGGAGGTACTAAGCCAAAGATGAGAGGTACTAGGGGGTTAGTTTAATAAGACCAGCATCAATAGGATGCTGGTGAAAACCACGAATGAACTCTGGGTTATTTCCTTTCCAGAAACATGATGGGCAGTTCACCATCATCCAGCTGGTGGGCATGTTGCGTGGCATCGGAGCAGGCATGAGGTACCTGTCTGACCTGGGCTACGTGCACCGGGACTTGGCTGCCCGCAACATCCTGGTGAACAGCAACCTGGTCTGCAAAGTGTCTGATTTTGGCCTCTCACGCATCCTGGAGGATGACCCTGATGCTGCGTACACCACCACGGTGCGTGGCTCCTAGCGTTGCAGTCTTGTTGATCCTTACTGATGGTGATTGCCCCAGGCCACTGACAGATGGAAAGTTAGACACTCTCAAGTCAAGATAGGCAGGGCAGGAATGGAGACAGTCACCTCACTGCTGATATCTGGACCAAGAGCATGAACTCAAAGAGCTTCTGAACCTTAATGCATTGTCCTTCATACAGGGACATCCCAGAACTGAAGTGTGCAGTGAACAAAGAGAAGCAGGGTGGGAGAGCAGGAGGTTGATCAAACCTCCCCAGCCAACAGCTCCTGTGGGCAAACACGGCCCACTGCACAGGGACACTCCCATGTCCCTGTTGGAGTCCTTCCCTAGACTGTGTAGCTCCATCCACTCCTTCAGTTCTCCTAGAGCCATTGGTCAGTAGGTGGGTGTTATGGTACACTCTTCAGCAGCGTGGCCACACACTAGTTTTTCCATGTGACTCTGCCTCATTCAGGGGTGTGGACAGGGTGGGAGTTGGCTTTGCAACCTAGATGATTTTGTTTTAATGTAGGACACTTTTGTCTGTGAAGCCATTTTAAGATTTTTCTGGCCAACCTGACAGCTCTGGAGCTTGATGTGCTCCTCCACTGGAGGTCACCAAATGAAATACATTGAGGGAATGTGCTCTTTTTCCACTTCTCTGGCCATGAAAGGAATTACTGTGCTCCCCAGGCACACCTCTGGCTGGGAAAATGTGGTGGATAGACAGTTCCTGATGGAGACCAGTTTGGAGCTGCAGCTGAGGAGTCTGAGCATCATTTTTCAGAAGGACCAAGACTAGAGAAGCAGAAAGAGCTTCAGGTTACTTTGGGGTAGCTGACAGCAATGCAGAGCACGGCCCAAAGCAGTTGCAGCTCTGAGGGATGAGTGCACAGTGGCCCAGCCTGGAGAACACGGTCTTCATGCTCTTTGCTTTGCAGCCAAGTGGAGAAGTGAGCCAGAATGTGTCCTGTGTGTGTCTTTGTGTTCAGCTGCTCCCTTTGGTATCTCAAGAAATAACTTGATATTCCAGATCCTTTATTTTCGGGGAAGCTTCCTGCTGCTTGGTTCAAGTACAGCATCTTCTGCATCTTGGCCTTGGGACTCTCAGTGGCAGGGTAAGAAGGGGTCCAAGATCAGCTAGGGCTTCCTGATGTCAGAGCAGCCCATCTCCTTGTCTGTGGCCTACAGACTCACACATACCCTGGCCTTCCTCCCACCAAGCCAGTCTCTGAGCTTTCCACTAGCGCTTTTGATCTTGACCGCACTGGGTCAGGAAGGTGACCTGAGTGACCAGAGCTCATGTATTGACCTACCTGCTGACCCTTTCCAATTCTGCCCAGTTTCTAGAGACACTGTCTCATGTCCCCAGTATGAATGCAAGCAGGGAGGTAACTAGAGGATGGAGCAGCTGCCAGGAATGTCACAAGCAGAGGCTTTTAGGCATCTTGGCACAGTGAAACCCACCAGAGCTGGTTGCTCTGGAGGAAGACTAGGTGCATAGTCTGGATAGAGCTGAACCACAAAGATGCAGTGACAGGATCAGGAGTTTGAGATCTCTGGTGAGGTCTCAGTCCGGGTTTCCTGAAATGAGGATGCTTTCTTGTTCAGAAACTTGTGATGCTATCCTGTGTTCCTCCTCTGTTGTCCTCGACCTGCTCAGGAGATTACTTCCCCAAAGGAACTCTTCCAAAGGACACATCATTCATCTTCAGTCCCCATCAAGGAGTGTGCCAGAGCAGGCAGGACTCAGCTGGGTGAAGGCAACTCTCCCTGGATAGGGATACCTGAAGGGTGTTCCCAGGCACATCATGCCTGCCCTAGCTGCTCTGGGAAATCCACCCGGTGTTCTCCACAACTTTCCTCTTCAGATGGCTGGCAACGACATTTCCAGCTTAAATGTATTCTTAGCCCGTATATCGCTGATTTTTGTCAGCATTGTCCTTTAATTCAACCAGGCCTTCTCTTCAGTGCTTGCCTGCCAAAGCAGTAATGGACAGGGAGCACATGCCATCACTCTCCTTGTCTGTTCAAGTCAGGCTTTCTGCTTGCGTCCAGGGTCAGCTCCATGCTTTTGTGCTCTGGTAGCCCGTGGCTCCACTTCATCACTTTGAATTCCTCTTTTGAACACTGAGGGACAGAATTATGCACGAAGAAGACCTTGTAAAACAGCACAGCTTTCTCCTTGCTCTACTGGAAATACCTTGAAGTCATCCTTCAGGTACACCTCTAGGCTTATCTTGTGCAGATTGCCTCCTCGGTCCTTTCTAGAAGATGCCATCCCAGCGTCCTGCTTGTCTAATCTGCTGTCCCAGCTGCAGAGAGGTAGGGATGCCTGAGCCCTGCATGCTCTGAGCCTCCACTGTTGCTCACTTTTTCAGGGGGGGAAGATCCCTATTCGCTGGACAGCTCCGGAGGCCATCGCATACCGCAAGTTCTCCTCGGCCAGCGATGTGTGGAGCTACGGCATTGTCATGTGGGAGGTGCTGGCCTACGGCGAGCGCCCGTACTGGAACATGACCAACCGGGATGTGAGTGGATGCGGGAC